TATATATATAATATATATATATATATATATTATTATTATTATTATTATTATTATTATTATTATTATTATTATTATTATTATTATTATTATTATTATTATTATTATTATTATTATTATCATTATTATTATTATTATTATTATTATTACTATTATTATTATTATTATTATTATTATTTTGTTATATGAAGAAAAATGCATAGTTTGGGTTGTTGCGAAACTAAGTAGGTTAGCAGCACCTCAAACCGTGAACACCCTTTAAAAAAGAAAAAAAAAGTAATACATTCGTTACAATCAAAAACAAATAGGAATTTTGCTTATCATTTGAAAACAGGAACAAGTTATTCATATATCACGGTCTACTATCAAACGTCGGCAATACTCAGTGCACGATGTTAGCGAAATCCGTGATTAGAGCTATTTTATTGCGCCACATGGAACCACATAAACTCGAAAAACAGTTCAGTGGATGAAATAGCGCATTATTCACCATGCGGAACTGATCCCCAACCACCAAACTACCAGTGAGAAACGTTACCATCCAAACCAAACCACTAGGATCTGACCCTCCTATATCAGAACACTACTATGTGGTACAAATCATCGAACGTTGATCTTAAGTATGAATCAACATAATAGAAAGGTGAAACTCTTAAGAAGGAAAGAATGTATTTTTACCTGTGATAGAGCATAACTATTCGCATCATCGCTGTAGACACGTTTAAAAATCTGATGCAATTCTTCTTTAGTTTTTGGAGTTGTAATAGCTTCTTCATTCTTTGATGGCATACCAACAGTGATCTGTTTTTGACGTACTAAAAGATGAGTCACTGATTTGGATAATTCATCCACCAAACGCTTCAAAAGCCCGAATGACAGGCGAATTAGGGCCCAATTACGACTTTCACATGCCTAAAAACATTCTCATGACATCTGTAAAAATAGTACAAATGTGATTTGTAGCAAAATAACGTGATAGAATGATATTTGAGAAATACATGGTAATTTTTGAAGCATAAAGCAATTATAACATCTAGTCCATTAATTTTACTCTATGAGAAGCATTTTTAAATTCCTTTTCCTATGAACGAGAATTGCTGAGATTTTGAAAAATTAATGCAAATGTTAAACCTTTAAATATATTTCTTCCATAAGTGCTCGAACAGTTGCACCTTTCAAATTATTTAATTCAGTATCAAAATCAGGTCCTCTGAAATACAAGAACTATTAATTTGTAAAATTCTTCCGTAATGCTTGGCAAACTACAGGTAGCGTATGCGACGTTTTCGAAAAATTCTAAGGAACTCAAGTACCAAATTAACTCATTCTAATATACAACTCATTTCCAGAACAGAACGTCAAACATGTTAATACGAATTAAAATGTTTCTATTATCCAAAACGTAAATGATAATATTCTAGAATATGAAAAAAGAGAAATTTCAGATCATTATGTAATTGCTTCATACATTACCATATAAAATTTCAAACACTAATTTACTTTTTCATCCATAAATAATGAACAATGGACGCTTGCTCATCTAAAACATTTGTTCCAGTTAACATATCAATCAAATTTACTGTTGACATTTCGTCCATTTGTGCTGTATCCAATCTGAAAAATTACTTGACAGTAATTAAGCCACACCCCAATATTGTTTAATGTAGCATAACTGGATCAAGAACTCCGAAATTAGCTGGTTATTCACCACACGATAATGACGTAGTTATATATAACGCACGCACAATGGAAGCCGATTGATGCTTACTTTAACTCACCTACTTGTTAATTTAAAGAACTTATTCAGTTAAACGTGAGAAAAATAGCACTGACCTTTTTTCTGAATCGCCACTAGATGTACTTCTCAGAGATACCACCGATGATGTTCGTATCTTGAATATTAGTATATGAATGATATTGACCAATTTTAATTCATTATTTTAATATAAATAGCACATATGGACAGAGTTTTGTACGAAAATCAGCACACTTCATTGTCAAAAGCGAAAGAAGACGATCTATGGTAGCTTCAAACACTTCCTATTTCCTTTTCTTTCCTCATTTTCATCTTTTTCATCGATTCTCACAGCCAATATATTGCGAAGAAATATATAAAATTATGGATTACCATATACTAAAAGCTGATAAAGCGCTCATGCTACTACTAAATTTACTCATCGAATTTGTAGCTATCCAGAGCCAAAATATCAATAGATCACCAATCAATAAACAAACAAACCAAATCTTCTGTTGAACTACGTTTTTCAGGTGATAAAAAACGTTTCAAAGGTGGAGCTTGAGATCTCTCATTTGTCTGAGTCAGATTTCTTTGTCCTTGTTTACCATAAAGCGTACATAATTTTATAAGATCTGTAAAACTATATTAGTGATGGTATAACACTACTTATGTCGAAATATTTAAAAAAAAAGATGCAAATTGAAATCTAAAATATCGAAATGAACCTCCCCACAAGACCTCTTTTCGTCCAAAATAAGTTAACACAAGCTTTAAAGTTAGAATTATTAATTTTTTGGACAACCACTTTATAATTATTTCGGAGTAACAATTTGCCTTGATCATCGCTATCAATCATGATACTACGGTGTCGCATTGAAGTGCTGTGCACAATATTGTAGCGCTCAGCATCACCTCGCAGTGATAATTTCCCATGCATTTGTGATGGAACGACTAAAAGTGCGACATTTTTTTTTAAACAAGAAAACTCAAGGAAGCAAACTCAACAATTTCTTACTTTACTGTTACCGATAAAATGATCGCTTAACAGATCACGGACTGCTAACAGTGCTTCTCTTTCATCGGATAGATGCAGTGACTGACAAGGAGATAAACAATTTTGAATACATTTAAATTTAATGTGCGCAATAAAAATTTATCAAAACTGATCCAGAAAAATCATGCACTTCCTACTTTTCAGTCATGCATAATTCACAGACAAAATATAGGGAGTAAAAGCCAGAATTTGTAAAACTCTTTTCTTAATTTATATAGAATTCATACTTAATCTTGGATCATCAACGTCCGAAGACGGTAGATTTCGATGCATTGCCTCTTCTTCCTCTTCACAAAACAAATTTTCTGCATTATGCCCATAAAATTCCAATTTGCTAACAGCTGTGGTTCGGAAAAAGTCCGACACATTCTTCATGACTACTCTGAAACAAAAGAAAGAAGAGAAATAAAAGATGAATGCTTTCCTTCATGAAACTACTATATCTGCGCATCTACTAACAATTACTAGCATAAGTTGATGTGCTTCTGATAGTATCGAATAATATTTTGGAAAATCAATCGGCCTAGTCCTAATGTGCTGTTTGCACGGCCAAAAATCTTTCGATTCAGAATTTTGTGGTTGTCAGACGGTGCTTAACAAGATAACAAAACAAGGAGAAGAGGACATTATCACCAACGCCACACGCGACGCTGTAACAACTTATAATTCCGATTTGGAATTTAAATGACTGCGCTCAAATTTTAAACGTGGTTTAAACTGATTTCAATATCATTTTCATATCCATCTCATTGATTGTGATTGCTACCAGTTCCTATCAGTTTAACTCTCATCAGGTGATCTTTTTCGCCATTTACCAATAGAAATAAAAAACTTATCAACAGAAATAAAAACAGTATAAACAAACCGTGCGCCACCTATATAACCTGTTGCAATTTTTTTGATCGTACCTATAACGGATGCTTTCATGTGAATATCAGTGAAGGAACTGTCACTTGGTGCCATATCCTGAAAGCAAGAACAAATCCCCTGCACTGCCTTGATAATAACTTACATTACAATTTAAATTGACTGACTGAGCGTGCCTCGTTGTGATCAGAAAATCAGATCAGAACAGTTATCGCATGATTATCTAATATTTTTTAATGACTGTAACAATCTTTCTTATCATTTGTCGTTTTTTCTCAATTTTTCCCTCACTATTTCTTTTGTCGCCTTTTTCTCATTCACTTCGCGTCGTCCCGTTGAATAATACTTCAACAGATTTGTGGTCTAGATGCACGCTGAAGTACTAAAATTCCTGCACCGAAACATTAGGTAGGTAAGGACAATAGCACGCTTAAGAGTCATAGAATAATATGATAGAGCATAGAGCATAGCGAAAGGAGGACGCTAAACCAGAATTAATTCGGGATTAATATGATCAGATATAAGCTTACTGCTTCAAGCATATTCTTTGCAACAATTAGCACGATTAATGGTCGACCAGATACTGACGTGTTATTCCAACTGCTGTATATATACTGAAGCTCGGAACTCCATTCATTCATCAAAATTCGGATGTCATACATTAAATATGAACGTTTTCGATCCATAAACTGGAAAAGAAAAAAACATGAAAACAGCATGTATTCTATACATGTATTCATAAATAGATATGCGGAAAGAACAGAGAATGCTGATGAAAATCAATCAAATTCATGAATCGAAATCAAGGTGTAGCAACATAACATATGCACAGAGAACAATAATTACCTGAGGTGTGAAGATCACAAACTTTTGTCCCAGCTGGTAAAGTTTACTTGTGCTGAGTACACCGATCTCTCGATCTAAGGGACGACCGGTAAGTCGCAACTTTGCAGACTCGCCTAATCTAAAAACGCAAACAAAAAACTTGTCCGTAAAAGTTATTTTAAGCAAAATTTGGACTAAAGCTACTCAAAACTGTTTACGAGTGCCGTAATATAACTTTGTTTTATTTAATTATATTGTAACTGCAACGCCTAACTTGAAAAGCAATCCATGATGCCCAAAGTTATTTGATTTTACATTTTTAAAAAGTATTCTCTATTATTCATCACTGTAGAAACAGGAAAAATTCCCTTCCAGTATTTCAGGGAGTATATGACAGTTTAATGAGATATGAAATAATTTCTATTGACTTTTCATATTACAATATTGAATAAAAAGATCAACAAAGTGCAAGCCTTGATAGAATTCGAGCAAATATGGATGTAGGTTGAATGCAAAACACCTCATCAATTTCACTAATACTCTGCACCTGGATACCCTGTGCCAACAATTCCTGCTGTACTTCATGCGTTTCCGCCAATATTGTTACTTTAAGATTCGAAATCAAACGTTGCAATCAATAAATGATAAGATAACAAAATGAATTAGTGAAAACAAACAACGAGGAAATTGTCTGATTAATATCATTGTAAGCGAATATCAAGATCGTTAAATGATCCATAAACATACCTTGAACTTCGCATGGAGGATGTTTTTCATATGCTGATATCCGTCTTCGTAGTGGATCCAGTTCAACTGGTGTTAGGAGACCATCGTATAGTAAGCAACAAATGATATACAATGCTTGTGCCCATAAAAATGGTCTAAATTATTTATTTATTGATATTTTGAATTACTCTGAAGAAATATTTCAATATCTTTTGCTTCATGCGATGTAAATATATCGAAATGCAGGATCAACCATGTATCGATGACACAACGGAAGCTCCCAAGCAATCCACACGATTTCTCTAAATAAAATCTTCACCATCCGTGAAAAACAAAAAGAAGCAAAACGCATGAACCAGGAATCATAATCCGGAAAGATTCTGCAGTTTTAAACTCACATTGCTCCATCAGCTTCTCTATCTTGGCTACCATGTTGATGCTTTTCTGCCGCTACTTTATCGAATGGTACTTTATAAAGTTCAGGCATTAGTCGTAAACCATTTCTGTTGATAACGATCTGAAATCCTTTTCCTTTTTTGAATAAATGATAAAGAATGAAAAAATAGGATTGTAATCCTTTAAAAAAATATATTTTATTTAGATTTACTTATTTGTGAGGTGCTACTTCTTTTCGTCCCCTTTCAAAAGACATTAATACAAATTGCGAAAAATATCTAAATAAACTGAATTTCATTTTTCAGATGTTAAAGCTCTGCAGGTGAAACGAAATTTTTAACTCAAATTAATTTCCGAATATGTATACCACGATATGTTATTTTGGCAAGAAAATGGTTTATAAGTCATTACCAAGGATAACCCTCTAGCAAATATGGTTCTTGTCAATCTAAAGACGCCTTAGATTTGCAGTGTGAAGAACATTGTTTCGTTTTGCCTTCTTGCAAGGACTTCCTCCTCTTCCTCACTACTCTTTTGTTGACGACATAAAACAAACTAAGTCAAATTCATTTCATACATCTTCCATAATTGTCCAATAATGTTTAATCATAGCATCATCACGAGAAAACACAGCATCTAGCATAAGAAAACAAACTGATAACGGCCATTCACATTCTACATCTTCAAATTGTTGCAATTCAGAATTGTTGTAATACAAACGATATGGATCCTAAAAATTTAAAGGAAAATTTTATAAAAAAGTAAAGGAAAATGAAAGAATTTTCGGGGTTACTTTTATAAATTTATTGCTGGCGCTATCTGGGCAAGAATCTTACTAGTGCTGATAACATACGCACATAAGAGAGATATATGACCCAACTTGCTTCACCAGTCTAAATAGCTGGAACAAATGTTAACCAAGTACCGATTTTACGAGTTTACAACATCCCCATACTACTAAATTTTCAATCAGAATCATTTTACCTCCAATGGCGTTTTGTAACCATCACGTAGAAAACGTCGACAACCATAACGACCAAGAAGCGTATTAATAATTGTTTGACGTGTAAGCTGAATCAAGCTTTGCTCTTCGACCGCAAATGCCGGATATGAAATAACACTCAGAAGCGCAAAATCAGTTTCCTGAAATTAACAAAGAATGCACAAATGCAAAAGGAAAAATAAATAAATAAGGAATTGAATTTCACGGGGAGGAGGGAGAGGAAAATGAAAACATTAAAAAATATACTTTAGAAACCGATTCACGGGGCAACATCGATGTCAAAAGAGCCGAACACTGCTGGATTTGATCAGGTAATACATGAATGACAGATCCTAGAAAAAAAACGAAAAGGTTCTCATTAGAAAAAACAGCCTCACAACTAATCTTTTTTCCATTTTCTTCCCTTTTCTAAAAGAAAAAGTGAACTGTTTTCAGGAATAAACCCGGACAGTAAAACTCGAATAATTTACAACTTATGATATAAATCGGAACATCGACATTGTCGAAGCACTTTAAAATTTGCTGAAGATTTTTTATCTTTCAAATCAGGAAACCTTTTGAACCATCTCCAAACAAATCGCCAACATCATTAAGAGCTTGCAATGCCGCTTTTACCATACCAACACTACTAGAGTTCAGTTCTCGTATTCCCTGATTCGTTTTATCGCCACGCTCCCAAACACCGTAATCCTTAAATTTATTCAGAGACATTGCATGATTCTACCAAAAAAAAAACTGACCATCAAATACCACCGCAAAACTGATTTCTTGTTCTTGATAATCTAACTTAATTTTGACTATTAGTAAGATGAAAAATCTTGACTAGTAGTAAGATGAAAACTTCCCAGTGGTATATTTTGAAAAAAATCTCGAAGTCAAGTGGTCTCCAGCAAATAATGCTCACATAAATCGACTTCAGCTAAATCCAGTAAATTGTCCGACAAATTAAAGAAACAAATAGTATCTATCAAGTGTCTGTTTTATCAAATTTCAGTGGTAGTTAATGCTTCTATGATAGTTGTTGTAACTCAAACAGAGAAACGGTTGCCACATTCAAGGAAGGTGGCGGGCGCGCGAATAACCCATTTTTAGAATAAAGTAGTGACAAAAAATAACAAGACAGTTCTCATCGAGGCTAATTATCGGAATGAAAAGTTTTTTATAAGTTCCTCAACAAAATCACTAGTGATGTATATTTGTGAAAAAAAAAAAGGCAATGTCTACCGGTGTTCGATAACCTGCTTCAATGTAATACACCAAATTTTGTACAAAAGCAACTTCATCAAAATTTCGGACAATTTGTAATCCTGAAATTTAAAATACTACATATTTATTTACTTGATTACTTTATTTACTTATTTATCCAATTTAAAATTTTGATAATAGAAAAAGGTAAACTGGAAAAACCGGATAGGTAATCAGAAATCCAGCAGTAATTTTATTCGTTTAATTTATATTATAATAAAAATATAAAGATGAACAGATAATTCCCTTCAAACCATTATAAATATTATTACAGTTGAATACATTTTCCAAATTGACTGGTATTTATTTGCTTGATTACTTTATTTACTTATTTATCCAATTTAAAATTTTGATAATAGACTTTTTGATAATAGATAATAGAAAATTTTGATAATAGATATTTTTGATAATAATTTGATAATTTTGATAATACTTTATCGCTAAAGCCATTACCCAACATTAATGAGACCATTAGTATTTCAAAAAATTCTTTAGATTTTTTTCCAAAATTGATTCTCAGTTCTCTAGGTTAAATTTACCTGATGCCGTTATTTGGGCTAATGTCAGTAGGAATAATGATATCGCATCAATCTGCAAATGCCCCCATTCGTAATCACCAACAACGGTACTCTTTGTTTTCGCAGAATATTTAGCATGAAGAGCATCATTTTTACGCTGATGCAACTTGAATTGTTCAACCTTGTCCGATTGACGCATCATACATTCTAACAATGATTGCATAGTTTTCACACTAAAATGATTAAAAAACAATCGAAAATAGCACCGATATCATGAAAATGAAAAAATACGTAATAAATTTATGCATATATACTAATGTTATGATAAGGAAATAAAAACTTTCATAATAGCTATATAT